GACAGCAGTGATAGCAGGGACAATGACAGCAGTGACAATGACAGCAGTGACAGTGGGGATAGCACATCTGAAAGCAGTGATGAAAGTGACACCCAGAGCAAGTCTGGTAATGGCAACAACAATGCAAGCGACAGTGACAGTGACAGTGAGAATGAGGGCAGTGACAGTCACCACTTAACTAGTGACGATTAGAACAAAGAAAATACAGTGAGTAAGGGAGGGAAATGCAGACTCCCGACAGGATGAGGAAAGGAGAGAACTGGAAGCTGTGAAAACATCGCAAGACAGTAGGGACTCAGTGACATTGCTGGGTTGGCTGGGGACCGAGCCCCGCATCCCTCAGGGAGACCCTGAAAGGCAGAAATTTTGGTACACACATTAAGAGATATCCTTGTTCTGAAAATATTTTGTCAGAATTGTGAATATAAACTTACAAAAGTGATGCATACATTCCTTAGTACACAGAAACCTTGAGCAATCACTTACTATGAAACAACTTCGACTAAAATGTCAGATACATACTTCAGAGAACTCAGTAAGCAACCCATCTTACAGACAGCCGACGTCATCCTGCACCCCAGGAGTCAGGCTTCAGGGGAGAGGTCTGCCTGCTGTGCAAGAAAGGTGCTGTCCCCTGACACCAGCTTGGCCGCTGACTTGGTCCCTTGCTCTGGGGGAGAAATACCTTTGCAACATGCGAAAAACTCATGGCGGTTATTTAGCTTACGTGGGGCATGATCATACAGGGTACATACAAATTGTACGTTATGCAAATTCTAAAGATGGCAGTCAGAAAAGAACTCAGGTTGGTTTAGACAAAATCTGTGTACAATATTACATTTCTTCAAACCACTGGAAATTGAGTACAGAGTCCCTACAACTATGAACAAAGCCGACACAATGCCTGCAACAGTGTTGTTCTTCCAGCAGCCACTCTCCAAATACTAAGTGAAGGGTGCGTGAACGGATGACTCCAGGAGGTGGGGTCAAGGTGAACTCCATGTTCAGGGCCGTGCTATCAGCTGTCTACACATCAGTCTTAACTCGGTTCACATTTCCCTTTTAAATCTCAACATGCCTGACTCCCAGACCAGACCCTGAGATTCCCTTTCATCTAGCAATCTCTTCAATAAAGCCAAACTTGCCAGCAGGTAATACCTGGAAAACTTCTCTTTCTAATGTGAGTCATGTATGTCGTTAAGATCTCAGAATAGATCGTTTAGCCTTTGCATGAATAGGGTAATTCTTAGTCTTGAGATGAAGCGTAAACCCTAGAAAATAAGAATCTCGAAGATTCCTGAGAAAAGAATAATCTGTAGTGGTTGGATATGTATCATCCACTCTCAGGACTTTTGAGAGTGAAAAGGGTGCTATGGTTAATCACATGGGGACAATGTGTATAAATAGGGATTGCTCCAGGGAGACTGGAGGATATTATGACCCTCACCAATAAACTATGAGGGTATTTTTCAAGATTTAGTAGTAGTGCTGTGTAATTTCTCTCTTTTTTATACTTACGCAATTATTTTAGATTTCTCCTAATTCCAGAACTACAAATTGCATTGTGAAGTTACGAATGCAACTTCTTCAACATTGGTTTTCAAGGCTAATAACTTATGTTCCAATATTAGGCATATTCTACTCAAAACTTTTTAGAAGATTTTTTCCTGTCTCCTTCCTCTCTTATGCAAATGTTTCTTAATTAAGAAATCAAAATTACAAGGAGTATTGCTGCAGTCTTTAAAAATGCTGCTATTCATAAACTACCTTGTAACTCCTTATACTGTAAAATGTCAGGTCTCTGCTATATCCCAGTCATGTAATAACTCCAAATCTCTTACCTTAAATGATGCTTTCAGTTTTCAAATCTATTACACTTCAGAATATTTTATTTGTTTCAATCTGTAAAGTACTGCTTCTAGTATATCACACCTATTCTAGAAGGTGTCGTGAGGACTAAGTCAGCAATGTATGTAGGATTCTTTGTAAACTGTACAAGACATGTAAATGAAAGGCAACATAAATTTAAAGTGTTATAATAAACATTAATACCATTGCTAACATGCAAAACTCTTTTCATCCTAATGAGTCTATCAACATTTGTCCTCTCCATCACAAAATCTGAGGTAGAATATCACGCTGCTTTTAAAATTAGCTATTTTAACTGAAAAAGTAATATATACTTATACACAAAACAAAAATTTTGAAAACTATGTGAAGGTATAAAAATGCTAACTGTCAGCCATTTTAGGCCACCAGTCTTCCCCCCCCCCCAGAGGCAATTCAGGTTGTTAATAACTTATGGAACTTCACAGAAATGTTCTCTTTGTTATCCTCTAAAAAGTGCACAAAAGTCTGTAACACACAAAGTGGTCACTTTGCTCTTTTTATCTTAATACTATATCTTGAGTATTGGCTCATGGATCACTGTGGCTCCTTTTCCCCACCTGTGTTTGACCTTATTGTATAAAGTGCTCTAAGGTGTTTAATTCTGCTTACTATCCCATCACTGTCTTGGTTACTTTTCTTGTTGCTGAGACAAAATACATGATGCTGAACATTAAAGAACTAAAGCTCATTTAGCTAACAGTTTGTAGCGGTTTTAGTCCATAATTGGCTGGCTCCAATGTGGGGTGGCATGGCAGAGGGGCAACTGTTCATGGTGGTGGAAGACAACAAAAGCAGCAAGAGCAAAAATGGGAGAAACAAGCCTTTTTCTCCCTTATATTGTATGCAGGCTCCCTGCCCTAAGGCGCGTGTAGTGCTCACACCTTCAATCCCAGCACTAGACAATGAACCAATCACAAACTCTAGATTCAGCCACCTCCAAACAACCCACTCCCCATGACCACAGGAGACATTGGGAGGCCATCTAGAAGCAAACCATAACATTCCACCCTTAGATCCCAACTGACTCATGGACATCCCTTTAGGCAAAAGGCATTTAGTCCATCTCTAAGAGTTGCCAAAGTCCTAACAGTTTCAACATTGCTAAAAAGTCCAAGTCTCAAGTCTCCTCCAAGATGTAAGGCAAACTCTTATCTTTGAGTCCCTATACAAATGAAAAGAAAGTTAAATACTTCCAACATTTAATGGCACAAGACAAACATTTCCATTCTGAAAGTTACAAATGGGGATTCAAAGGAATGGGACCAAAGCAAGTCTACACTCTAGCAGAGAAAACATTAAGTCCTGTAGTTTTATGTAGAGTATCTCAGACAATCTGTGGCAAGTTGTGAACTCCAAAGGGTTTAAGTGGCTCTGCCCCTATGGCATTTTTGGTGGTTGTAGCTCCTCTGGCTTCTCTCTTGGGCTGGCTCTGCTACCTCCTGGTAGTTTTTCTCAGATGATCCATGTTCCTTGTTTATCTAAACTTTTGGGGTCTACACTGCACCTTTGGCTTTACCCTCACAACTTCACACAGTGCCCTCTCAGAGACATACTGCCTGGCTTTGTGGGTCTTCTGAAATTGGGGTAGAAGCCTTCTTAACCCCACAATTTTTGCATTTGGTATGTGCCCAAAACCAATGCCACCTGGATGATGCTGAGGTCTGCTGCCAGCTGGAGCACTAGCCAAGCTTTTCCCTCTCTTGGCTATAGGAGTCAAGTGCCTAGATTGCTGAGCACTCTAACTCCAATCCTGAGGGACAAATTTCCTAGGCTACTGCCATTCTGGAACATGGTGTGGCCATTGTCATTCTGGAACATGGTGAGGCTGCTGCCATTCTGCAACGTGGTACTCTGTGGCTTTCCTCTCAAAGCAAAGTCTTTCACTTTTGCAGTTTTGAGGTTGCAAAGGTTGGAGAGTTGCTGCTCCTTGTGAGGCCCTCAGGCCATCTTTTCTATTCTTCTGTTCCTTCTCAGTAATAAAGATCACCGCAGCTCAATCTTTGCCGTCTACAGCTTTACTGGAGCTTTCATTTTGGCCAAACTCAAAACATTTTAAATTATTCTACTGGGTTCTTTGCTCTTGATTCTCAACATAAATCTTGCTAAAAGCTCCCAACAATAGCCATGCCATTGCCTCGACATTAGACTGCCTTGAAATTTCTTCTCCCAGATTAATTAGTCCACTACCCTTAATATCAGCCTCAGGCAAAGTTGCTGGACACAAGCAAAATGCAGAAAAACTTTGTGCCAATCCATAACACACATCATCTGGAGTCCAACAGCCAGTGCAGTCCTTCTTCCCAGCAGAAACCTACCAAGCTTTGTCTTTACCAGCAGGATTTCTATCAATGTCCTGGTCTTCTGAACTTTGACCAGAATCACCCATACAGAACAGCCTAGGGCATTCCAGCTCTACCTTTTTGGCTGGCATCTATGAACCTTTCCAATCTTTTCCCACAAGCCTCCAGAATCTATACCTATGGTCAGGTATAGTCACACAAGGACCCCACTCCTGGTACTAAACTCTGTCTTGGTCACTTTTCTTATTGCTGAGACAAAATACCTGATGCCCCAAAATAGGGAAGAAAAGGCTTATTTAGCTCACAGTTTGTAGATGTTTCAATCCATAATTGGCTGGCTCCAAGGCAGGGTGGCATGGCTGAGGGGCAATCATTCATGGTGGAAGAAGACAACAAAAGCAGCAAATCAAAAAAGGGAGAGACAAGTCTTTTCCTCCTTTATATTGCATGCAGGCTACCCATCCTAGGGTGGGTGTAGCACTCACACCTTCAGTTCCAGCACTAGGCAATGAACCAATCACAAACTCTAGACTTAGCAATCTCCAAAGAGTCCCCCCAACACTGTGACCATATGAAGCTTTGGTGGGACATCTAGACACAAACCATAACACTTTCAAAGCCATTTCCAGTTCCAGTGAGAATCAGCAGATGTTGCCTGAGATAATAGACTAAATCATTTCTAGCCAGTTCTTATAAAGACTTTTCCTTAAGAATTATTCCTAGGGGGACAGATATTCAGGACCTAGGGCTGATGTCAGAAATCATTCAGAAAGACTATGGCCCCAATTGCCTCATATAATGTCATTTACATTTACTTCTGGAGTTTTGGGTCAAAAATGAAGCAGACACATTCCAAAAGAATGTCTCAAGAAGAAGTCCTCCAAACCCAAGAAGTCTGGTGTTATGAAATAAATTATTTTGAGTTATTTTCTGGAATAAAAATTAATAAGCTATCTCCTAATATTGCTCATGAGAACAATTTTTTTGAACTATAAGTTGCTA